CGCGCCGCGCCGGCCCCCGCGCCCCGCGCGCTTCCGGCGCCACCGCCCGCCGCCGCGAAGGGCACCGGAGCTCACCTGAGACGCTAGGCCGCACGCTGTCCCCGCCGGCCGGCTGGTCCGCACCCCACCTCGGGTCCCCAAGCGGCGCCGGGACCTGCCCGCTGCACTCGCCGCTCCCCCGCGTTCACAATCTCCGCTTGCCTGCGGGCACTGTCGGCAGCCGCCGCCGCCACTGCTTCGGCTCCTCGGCTGCGGGAGAGCAGAACAAACAGCCCTACCGCCGCCGCCGCCGCCAGCGCGCTGACGTCACCTCGCACGCTGTACGCGCGTCCCCGCTCCGCCGGCGCCAGGCGTGCGCGGCCCCGCCCCGCCCCGGCGCGAGCTCGCCTCAGAGAGCCCGCGGCGGAGGTAAGCTTTGATGCAACGTGGGGGGTGGAGCATGGTACCCGGACGACCAAGAAGGAGGCGGATGGTGGGAACTCAGGTGGTCGCGCAGGGCCCTGCGGGAAGGGTACCTGCAGTCTGAGTGCGGCTGCGAGAAGACCCCAAAGACCGAAGAGGAGTCAGAGGAAGAGAACTGAAGCGGGCGCGGGGGGTGGGCGAGAGAGGGGCCGCGAGGTGATCCCGAAGGCCGAGGAGGGAAACTGAGGCGGGACGCTGCAAACCGAAGGGAGGATCGACAGGAGACCCCGCTCACTAAAGAAGGAATCCCCTCACATCGAGGGGTGAACTGAGGCAGGCGTTCGGGACTGGTCTCCTGGGGCTATATTCCGAGGAGGGGAATCTCGGATTGGGGGAACCCCACAGACCAACCAAGGGGACCCACGAACTGAGAGGAGATCCCGCTGACAGTGATCCCTTAGAGGGTGGGTGGAGAGGGGACCCTGAAGACTAATGGAGGGTTGGATGGGGACCCCACAGACCGAGGGTGGAGACTCTGCAGACTGAGGGCAGAGCCTGAGGGAAAAGATGCAAAGACTGAGGGGAACATCCAAAAATTTAAGATCCTGATAATAGAACTCAGGAGGACAGTGAGAAGGGCCCAAGAAACTGGTAAGAGGCTTAGAGCCTCAGTCTAAGGCTGGCTGCGGTGGTAGATGGGCTTAGGGGTGCTGAAAGGAGGCTGGAGTAGGGTGCTGCTGGGCGATAGGACCAGAGCAGAGATAGAGGCTGAGGGAGAGGGGAGAAGGTGACTTGGAGGGGCGGAGGACAGCAGGGCCCTAGTGACGTCTTTCTGGGCGGGCCTATAGGGTGTGAAGACAGGAAGGTCCAGGTCTCTGGCCATTCGTCCCCTGGGGACCTCCTTTTCATCCTCAAGACTCAGTCTTCAAGTCAGTGCCCTCACTAGAAGTGTGACTGGAAAAACCACCCTACCTCTTCTAGGGCTCCCAAAGCATCACACCTGGACACAGCAGATCTTAAACATTTTTTTCTGATTCAGTGGGGGGGAGGTTAGTCTTAGGTCTCTTACAGCTTAAGATGGTAATTCTATAATTTTTTTTCCTCTCTCTTTTGCCTTTCATTTTCTGAACATATTTAGTCCCATCTTTTAAAAATAGCCAATCAGTTATTATAAAAATTCCAGGTAATAAAACATTTTCCTGATGACCCCGTATTTCAGAATATATGGGTTCAATAGGATACCATGGAGTCCCTGGGGAGTGTGAGCAGTAAACAACTTTGGTTACTAACTGAAAGGATGAGGTGGTTCAAGTCCACCCAGAGGAACCTAAGAGGAAAGGTGTGGTGGTCTACTTCTGAAAACTCAACCAATGGGGAGAGGAAAGAAAAAGGATACCAGAATTTCTTCATTATCATGGTGTTTCTCTGGTAGCATAGCGCCTAAGGCACTTGACTGCTAACCAGAAGGTTGGCGGTTCAAACCCACCAGCCACTCCTTGGAAGGAAGATGGGGCAATCTACTTCCGTAGTGATACTGCCTCGGAAACCCAAGGAGGGGCTGCTATGAGTTGGGTCCGACTCGATGGCACATAACAACAGCAACAACATCATGGTGTTTGATTTTCACCAAAACCAAAAAACTAAACCCATCAACATCAAGTTATTCTGACTCATAGCAACCCCATAGGGCAGAGAAGAATTCACTTGTAGGGTTTCCTAGGCTGTAATCTATACAGAAGCAGACTGCCACATCTTTCTCCCAGGGAGCAGCTGGTGGGTTCAAACCAGCAACCTTCTGATTCGCAGCAGAGTGCTTAACCATTATACCACCAGGGCTCCTCTTCACCAAACCAAAAAACCAAACCCATTGATGTCAAAGTTAGTCTGACTCATAGCAACCCTGTAGGACAGAGTAGAACTGCCTCATAGGGTTTCCAATGCTGTAAATCTTTGCAGAAGCAGACTGTTTGGTGAAGCTCCTACCTCTCCACCAAAGGCCATCATAAATGATGGACAAATTCAAATTTTGTTTCTTACTATTACAAAGCATGAGATAATGAAGTATTAGTTGCAAGAATTAAAGGAGGTAGTTTGGGAGCTCTAGTAGCATAGTGCCTAAGGCACTTGACTGCTAACCAGAAGGCCTGCGGTTCAAACCCACCAGCCACTCCTTGGAAGGAAGGTTGGGTAATCTACTTCCGTAGTGATACTGCCTCGGAAACCCAAGGAGGGGTTGCTATGAGTCGGAGCTGACTCGACAGCACATAACAACAGTTGGAACTGTTCATTAATAAGCTTATAGCTCTGTATTTCTTCATTCTCATAAATTGTTTGCTTCATATTACAGAATATTGAAACCTGTGAATATCTGCTGGCTCCTAATTTTGCACACTTGACAATTTGCGCAAGATGATCAGAAAAGGAAAAAAAAAAGAATAGGAAGAGACAAAGGTACAAAGGACAGCTGAATATGGAATAACAACTGATTTTTTTTTAAGTAAGCCAGAATTATCCACTTTAAGCCTCGCTCCCTTATAATTGTCTTGTCTTGTTGCATTATCTACTTAATTTATTTTTGTCACTGGCAAAAATGTTTTTGGAATTAATTTAGGGCTGCCACTTTGCAAGTCACACAATAAAATCTATCATTTCACTCTAGAGTCACACTTCATTTTAGACAAAAACTGTAATATCTAGTTTGATGTAAGGGACCCATTTGGATTATTTTTGACTACTGCTAGAAATCAAATCTAGTCTTAAGAGATTCTTCAAGCTCTAATACCCACTGCCATTAAGTAGATTCCAACTCAGCAACCCAAGGCTGTAAATCTTCACAGAGGTAGATTGCCTCATCTTCCCGCAGAGCAGCTGGTAGGTTTAAACCCCCAACTTTCAGGCTAGCAGCCAAATGCCTTACCCACTATGCCACCAGAGGTCCTTTCAAGCTCTAAAGGCAGTTCGAAAACCTGTCTCCAAAAATCTTGGAGCATAACAATGTTTCATTCTTCTTTCTATCTTCCATAGTGCCTAGCCTAACTTCTCCCAGAAAGCTCAAACTCAGATTTATGTGGTTGAATCAGTTTAATAGCAACAAAAAAAAGTCTGTTACTTAATGGTTAACATTTTGGATACACTCTTTCTACTTCTTGATATTATTGTGTGTGCAATATTAAACCACAGAAGACAGTAATAAAAAGTTAAGAAATTAAACATAAAGTGCATAATACAATTCTCATGACTGGCTTTAAAGGAGTCCGTGGGTGGTGCAAATAGTTAAACTTCGGCTTTGGAGGTCTGAGTCCACCCAGAGGTGTCTTGGAAGAAAGGTCTGGTGATCTACTTCTAAAAAATCAGCTGTTGAAAACCCTCTGGAGCACAGTTCTGTGACACACGTGGGATCGCCAGCAGTCAGAATCAAGTCCACAATAATGTGTTTCACTAGTGGACTGGTTTTGAATATGTATTATTTGTCTTGATAAGGTTAGTCATGGAACCATTTAACTGAACACTACAAAAGAATGTAAAGGAAAAATAACAGTAACAAATCCACTTCTACTCTCTTTGTCCAGAATAACCACTACTAGTGTTTTGGTGTGATCACTGTGATGTCATAACACTGTGATAACTCTTCAGTCTGCTGTCTAATATAGCAGCCACTGGCCATATGGAGTTGAGTCCTTAAAATGTGACTGGTCCAGATTGAGACCTAAGTGTAGAATACTGTACCAACTGCTGTCACATCATCTTAACTCGTGGGGACCCATGTGTGTCAGAATAGCACTGTGCTCCATAGAGTTTTCAATGGCTTATTTTTCAGAAGTAGACCCCAATACCTTTCTTCTGAAGCACCCCTGAGTGGACTGGAACCCCCAGCCTTTTGATTGTAACCCAGCATGTTAACTGTCCGCACCACCCAGGGACTCCCAAGTGTAAACCATGCTAGATTTCAAAGACTTTGTATGAAAACACAAATGTGAACTATCTCACTGGTTTTTTAAATTACTTTTGTTGTTGTTGAGAATATGTTTTTGTTAGGTACCATCGAGTTGGTTTCAACTCATAGTGACCCTATTTGTACAACAGAAACACTGCCTGGTCTTGCACCATTTTCACTTCATTGCCATGCTTGAGCCTGTACTGGTAGCCACTGGGTCACTCTTTCTCATTGAGGGTCTTACTCTTTTTTCGCTGATCCTCTACTTTACATAGCATAATATCCTTCTCCAGAGACTGGTCCCTTCTGACAACATGACCAAAATATGAGAGACGAAATCTGGTCATTCTTCTCTTCAAAGGAGCATTTTGGCTGTACTTCCTCCAAGACGGATGTGTTCATTCTTCTAGCAGTCCATGGTACATTCAGCACATTTCTACTCTGTAAATTTTTTATGGAAGCATGTCACCAGGTGTTTTACTCATGAAGCTGGTGGGTGGGTTCAAACTATCAGCCTTGCTCAAACTGCCGAATTTGGGAAAGGTTGGTGGTTTGGACCCGCCCGGCAGCTCCATATATTCTCAACCCCTTTTTCAGTTGAGTATATACACAGCAAAAATATATACTAATTCAAGTTTCTGCTTCTACAATTCAGTGACATTGATTACACTCTACCAGTTGTGCAATCATTCTTACCCTCTTTTTCTAAATTGTTCCTCCCACATTAACATAAAATCATTGCTCCCTAAGGTTTATATGCAGTCTTTTGAATTGCTATTACAGTTTGATCCTATATAGATGAATCCTAAAAGCATAATGATCAAGGCATTACTAGTTATGCTAAACTATTGTTTGCTTTTTAACAAGACTTCGGGGCATATTTTAGAATTAAGGTTTAAAGATTATTGTAGGGCAGTAGTTTCAGGGGCTCATGTAGGCTCCATGACTCCAGAAAGTCTGGATTCCATGAGAATTTAAACTTCTGCATTTCCCCCCTTTTGATCAGGATTCTTTTATAGGATTCTTACAAAATATAGGATTCTTAGATCTTACTGATTTTTTTATGTTGATTAAATGTTGAAATGATAATATTTTAAATCTAAAAACCAAAACCAAGCTCACTGCTGTCAAGTCATTTCCGACTCATAGTGAACCCTCCTTGGGTTTCTGAGGTGGAATCTCTATGGAAGTAGGTT